TCTGCTGTCATTTTCGTTGATCTCTCCTAATTTTCGCAAACGGCAAAATTAAATAATGCAAAAAAGTATGTGCTATTGAGCATCACTAGTGTCGGGGTAAAATTGTACAAAGAGACCTTCCGACCAATACTCTTCCCTTGCACCCACACAATACATTTATATACTTACCTTACTGCGTTCACTGGAACGGCGATCTGCGAAGAAACGCTCTTATCGCAACAGATCTCACAGGGTCGCACAGCAGAACTCTGACTACCTTTTGCCACCATTGTCGGAGAGACGAACAGACGGTGTACTTGAATACAAATAAAAGTCAGTAAAAAATAGTGTTTGACACACGTGGTAAAAATGATTTTATTTTGCTTGCCTCTGGGACTATTGGCCTAGTGTCCCAACATTTTCTATTTCCAAAATACTACTTCCAAAATACTACGTGTCGCTTTTACAAAATAATCCGTAAGTCGCTTTTACCACTCGTATCATTAATTACTATTCCATTCCTAAATATCTTATAGAAACAAATTTCATCAAAATGAGCTCTGATATTTATAATGGGAGCTCTTTAACAAGAGTGGATATCAGCTGTTGACTGTTTCATCCATTTGCGAGCGTGACGTCACTATGGTGACGTTCAAGCTTCCGATTGAATGAAACTGTCAACATCTGGTTCCTGCCAGGCGTAGACTTGCATACACAGCAGTAAAGTGAAGTTTCCAGCAAAATACCACCAATCATAGTATCATAACCAATATTAATGCATTCATCCAATGAACTCAAATATAAAATTACAACAAACTTTATTTCAGATAAAAAATAATAAAATGAAAATAAGTGAAAACTCACCCACGGACTTCAGAAACATAACCAGGTATCTAATTGATAGTCATTGAAGTTTTCATTCCTTCAAAGACCTATGTAATAAAACTATATAGTGTTTAAGAACGACAACCAATCCATTACTGACCAAGAAATATATCAAGACCTAAAATAACACTTTTCTTAGCAGATAAAAATCACCAGACTTCACAAAGAAAACAGACCCATTCCAGTAGGGTTTTTTCAGGTCACGATCCAATGGACAATATTCTAACCAGACAATATTCTAAAACCAGAAGTAAGGAAAAAACTCCAAGGCCTCATACAATGCCAGCGGTGTCTGGATTATGGCTATACAAAGAATAATTGAAATCACTCAATTAGCTGCACTTTTTGTTCAGGTTATCACTACTCGGTAATTTGTTCTACTCGTAATCAAGTACCAAAATGTAGTAACTGTCATAGCTGCCGCAAGGCCAATAATTGAAACTCCACCTGCACTTACCTAAAATAATACATTGAAAAGAGACAAACTGTCAACCAAAACAACCCCCAAAATAGAAATCAAAGACCTTCCCAACCCACTCCACTTCAATCTAACACTCATTTCCCTTTTATTCCCCAACACCAATTCTAAACAACTTCACTCTTACCAGTAGCACCACATCCCTGGTCCAACCAAATCCCATCAACAATTCAAATCCAACTAACCTTCCCCAAGAAACACACAACTATCACATTAAAACTCTTATTGCTGGGCCCTGATAACGAAAACGTGAATAAATCTTGTTCATACAAGTAATAAATTACTTCTAGTCTAGCACATTCTGTAGTCGGAATTCATGTCTTGTGGGCTTTTAATACCAAAAAATCGACAGAGGACGAAAAATTCATCTGTGTGTGTCAGTCAGTCAGTCCGTCCGTCCGTCCGTCTGCCTGTAGCCAACGCTAGCGCCTAAACCGTTTGTGACGATTTTCTCCAAAATTGATATTCCCCCGTTGATCTGAACGGACTCGAGGCCCTTTAAGTTTGAAACTAAACTTTGTTTTGTGTGTGTGTGTGTGTGTGTGTGTGTGTGTGTGTAGGGGGGGGAGAGGTACTTCATTTCAAGCACCAACATCATTTTCAATATTTTTACACATGGCTCCAAATTTTACGATTAAACTTGGCATCAGATATCATAAATAACGTTTAAAAGAATGGCGCAGATCTTATTTTAATTAAAATTCTTTATTCGAATATTTTTCGAAATTTTAATTTTATTAATGGAATCAAATTCAAAGACAGATATTGAAATAAGGTCATAGCAGAGTTTTTGAAAATGTTTTCGCGTAATTTGGCGTTAAATAAGGCAATTTTTAAACAATTAGTTTCTCACAAACGGCTCTAATTTGTTTCGTTTAATTGTTTCCTCGTATCTAGTATCAAAGGACGGTAAAAGTTTGGTGCTGGTACCAGTTTCGGCGAAGTGTTTAAATAAGCTCCGGAGAAATTTCTTAAAAAAAAAAGATTTGTTTGCGCCTAATTTCTGCTTAAATTTACTGCAATTTATAAAAAAATATTTTCTCAAAAACTGCTTCAAACTTTTTTTTTCGCACTCAGAACAAAGGACGCTTAAAAATTGGGAAGGTCTCATTTGTGTCAAACTCTCTGAACTTACGACAATTGAAAAAGCTAGGGAAAATGCAAGAAAGTATAAGCTGTTGTAGTACCACTATTTTTTCCCTTTGTAATATGTATAACCGAGAAAAAGTAAAAAAAATATCAAAGCTCTTTCAATTAAAGCCGTAAATAACTAGTCATTATCACATTATAATATAATTATTATATTTTTATTATATTATATATGTATATATTGTTATAAATGTTATTATTATTATTATTATTATTATTATTATTATTATTATTATTATTATTATTATTATTACTCGCACCATTATTTCCTATCGTAAAACGAAATTGGCGTATCGATATCAACAATGAAATTATTTGGCATATCCACAATTGGGAGTCTTGTAAATTAACGTATTCGTTTCCGTCTCGCATGATTTGTTAATATTATGAACTGGGGAAATAGCTTAATACTGACCTTGTTTAAAGCTGCTCGTGATCTGTTACTGTTCACATGGCGTGTTGTCCACATCAGCATTTGGTGACGACTATTCACTTTGAACGCCGCCTTGAAGGATAGTTAATCTTAAGTGTATTTCGCTGTTTCCTTCTCTTTCCGGATTGTTGATCGACTATTTTTGAGGATGGTCTTTAGTTTACCGACTTTTGTCATAAACAATTAATACGAAACACGCTTTCGGTAGTTTTCTTAATTATCGTTGTTTTATTTTGCACAATTTGTTTTAATCAAATCGCGACACCATTTTCCCATTCCCAAATAGTGTACGTTACAGGATAACTAACGAAAGCACGGTTTAAGAATTTCCCTTCATAAATCGTGACCAACTCCACGAGGCCCACTCAGAAAGCAAGTTTTCACCAACCTTCCTCCTGAAGTGCTTCGCGAAGAATGTGACAAGTTGAACCGCAGCGGCTGAATCCACTGAGGCGCGAAGGTTTTAGTGACGAATGAAGCCGCTTTCTGTAATGGCCTTGTGTATTATGAGACGAAGCTGAAGGTTCGTCACTGAGATCGGAATGTTTCTTATCAACAGGGAATTTATCAACATTCAGAAAACGAATTTTATCCCCTTATTGTTTCCTTCATGATGGAATCGAGCCACTTTCGCGAAAACATTGAGAACGAAAATGCGTCCCACGTACGAAAACGCATCCCACGTCTTTTAGGATGCAGTTGAAACTTCGCTATGCGTGTTCAATTTAACGACTGGGCTCTGACCCAGGGCCCTATAACTCCCATATAACGTGGTGGAGACCATTACGGTCTGCTCTGACCTTAGCACTTCGAGCTTAACAACGACTTTGAGTCTGAGCAACCCGTAATTTCCAATACATTTTAAACACATTGCAACTATTGCTATTGCACACTATTGCAAAAAATATTTTTTAAATTCACAAAAAAAAATGTCTGATCTCTAGGTAATTGCCGATCCTATTTTTTTAGATCTCCTGCAAATTGAACGCCTTCACAAATTCTTCTCACAAGTCTAGACTATTATTCATCGCTTGGTTAACTCCACTTTTCCTCCCCTTTTTCCTTCGTACACAACGTTATATTCTTGAAATTTCTGAACTGTATTTTCATTAAAACAAACCTACCCTAAATATTGTCCAAAACAAGCCACGAAATTACACCTTCGAAAATTCAGCTACTGAAATTACGAAATGTCTTTGTTCGCGAATTCCCGTCTGTCGTTCACCGCTTTAAGTGTTTAATATCGCGGCGTTGGAAGTCGATTAGGACACGGGAGCACGTTTAGGGATAAAACCCAAATGAATATCTATGATGCTTAACTTATATATTTTATTTTACATCAGTTTCATTGTTCTATGTTTTAGTTAAATCTCATAATTTAAGACATAGACATATAATTAATTTGACGTTAGACCTCATTCTACACTGTTTTAATAATATTTCCCTAATACAAGATTAAGTGCCAAACCCATGCAAACTTTTGCACATCATACAAACTGTGTTATAATTGCATGTGTAGAGTAAAGCAGATAACTTAGATAAGAATTTGTCGTGGGCGCTCCTAACGGGAGGTATCATTATGCATTCTACGTTTGTGAAAAAGTTGAATGGCATTTTTAATTAACGGACACACTCTTTACCCCCAAAACGATGGAACGAAAATAAGTTTTAGTAAATGGTATGTAGGTCTCAAACATTGCATACTTCAAGAAGCAAGTAAAATATTGAAAATGTCTAGATTACGGAAATTATAGTGCTACAGAAAATTTAGAGAAATATTTTAACATCTTACGCAATGGAAAAATCGATTCATAGCTTGTGTGTTTTACTTCGTATTTTCTCTGAGTTGAAATAATAATATGGCAGAAATAATGCCCTTATTTCTAGAATGACCAGAAATAAGTTTTTAATGCTAAATTAATGAGAGTCTCCAACCCTGTTTAAAAAACCCTGTCCCTCTCACTCGGACCCCCGGAAAATGATCAGCAAATACCATAGACTATAGTATTTGTGATCAGGCTCTGAGTTGGCTGCACTGAAAGAAAATGCTTTTTCTATTATCTTCGACTACTTCATGGTTGGTACTGGAGGTAGGATAGTGGGGATTGTGGTTAAAACAGCTGTCAAGTTCAGATTCACAAAAGTTCAAGGTACATTCCTGTCAAATATAATCTAAATTTTCATTTATTTTGAAGACAACAGCCTTGAATTATTAATAGGTGTGTCATGGATAGTAAGCTAGAGGAGTGGATGGAGAAGGCCTTCGAATTGGCTTCTAAAGAGTTAGAACTAGGAGAAGTGCCCGTGGGTTGTGTGTTCGTGTATGATAATAAAATAACTGCTGAAGGGAGAAATAGCGTGAATGAGACTCGCAATCCAACAAGACATGCAGAAATTAATTGCATAGACCAAGTCATGGAATGGTGTAGGGAGACCAAACGTGATTGGCGATCGGTTTTTAGTAAAACTCGGGTAGGTGCACTTTGAAAAATGGGTAAAATACTATTGTACTTGGTTACCACATTTTTAATGGGTTTAGGTTTACGTGACCGTCGAGCCGTGTGTAATGTGTGCTGCAGCCCTTCACAACTTGAAGATCGAGCAGATTGTTTATGGTTGTCATAATGACCGGTTTGGAGGTTGTGGCACAGTGATGGATGTAGCAAGCCTGTATGAAAATCCTGTCCCAACAATAAGTGGTGTGCAGGAAAAAAGAGCAATGAAACTTTTGCAACAATTCTATGATGGTATCAATCCTAATGCTCCACAGCCAAAAGTAAAGAAACGTAAAAGGAAGGAACAGGTATAATCATAGGAGGTGACAAATTTGTACCATTTTTCTTTAATATATCTTTTAATCATTTTAATAGAAATTTTAACTTCTAAAGTAAAAATTAACTCAGTTAACATACGAGTGGTCAAGCCAAAGTAAAGATTAACCAATTCTGATATCAATAGTGCAATTGTATGAATTATCAAAGGAAAGTGACCAACTAATGTGTAATACACAGATTCTAATCATATTTTCAGATATATTGAATTGTAAAAGTTATTTAAACACTGATATTTACATTTATGTTTCAGGAGACTGAGTGAATTTAAACTGAAGTAAAATTTTGATGAAATTTATCTGTAGAGATAAATGCAAGTAAATGATTCAGTGAAGGGATTCACTCATGCCCTTTATGAATGAAGGCACATCATTTCATTTGCTTTTCCCTGTGAAGCAGAATATCTACTTCTTGTAGAGGGTGTTCTGTTTTCTGGAGGGTGAATTATGTTCATTGTGAGGAAATAGAACAGCTATTCAGACATATTCATTTGGAAAATGTTTGTCAGATGATGATTACTAGTACTATTTTTCACATACCCTGATCATTCATAATTTTAAGCTCAAAAAATATTATTGTAGTCATATTAACAAACTGTCACACACACAGATGAGAACTTTTAGTGGAACCCAGATTGAAATAAATAATGTAGTTGAGCAAGTTTTCGTATCTGCTGGCTACTTTCCAGTGTTGGAAGCTTGCACTGATCTGTAATAAATTAGTATTTGAAACTGAAGCTTAAAAGTTTATTAAGTGTGTGTTTTCTCAAGGTTCTCATGTGAAAACAGTATCTTCACATTGTGGACTAATATTTTTATGTCATAAGACATCTTTTGTGTTGAAGTTTGTCAGGGTCAACAGTGCATAGAAATATATCTCTGTGGCTAAAACAATTTCCTAGTAATGTTTGCATTTCTTTAGGAGGTACCTTGCATGTCAACAAAACAGTATCCTCTGATCTGTTTGTTCATGCTGTTTTTCCTAAAGACTATTCTGCAATAAAATATCTAGACAAATGTCTCTGGATGGAATTATTAATAGTAAAGTATAACTATTCTAAATTCATAATGGTTTCTATTTTTTTTCAAAAAGATGAACCTACCTTTATTTGGCTAGTTCTAATCTTGTGATATTTCAGTGACAAGTTGCCATTTTAAACACACTGAATTAAGTACATTGAAGCGAAATTGTATTTTTACTTATAAAAAAAAACATTCCAGAGATCATTTTGTTTAATATCTAGTTCAATTTCACAGTCATTAATCACTATAATGTAAAACATCATTCAACTACTTGAAATTCTCATTTCCAATAACGACTTTTGAAGGACTGGATCCATCACAAAAGCGACCACAACTATGTCATCAAATTCCGTCAAAAGTGTATTTAATGACATGCTGCAAATTCACACAAATTCGGAAGAAAAATTAGTATCTAAAGCAACGCAGAAACTTGGACAGTTCAGGAATCACCGAGATGGAAAACACTAATGCAACTATTACAATGCGTTTGAGAGACCCTTCCAGAAATATAATCAGCTGGCAATCTAAGACGACGAGATATCCCTCTTCCTTTGAACACTGGTTGAACACACCATTCAACTTAAAGGTAGCTGAGACGGCTCGTCTCAGTTCCAAAGATAATGCAACTTCTGAGAAAGAAAACAATCAAGAGGGTCTCAAAGACCCCATCTTACCAGTTAAAGGTTAACTACCTTGAAAAAGGGATATGTGTGGAACTGTTTAACCACTAGTTTCTGTATACATGCTTTTTTTGATGCATGTTAACTTGTTAATTTCAATTGCACACAGCCCTCCTTTATAATTTATGTTAAGAGCTGAATCATGTGCTAGAAATATTCATAATCAGAGTACATTTAGGTCTTGTTTGCATACAGGTGATAAGAGGAACCCGTTATAAAAATTACGTGCAGAAAACGTTACTTTCTTACCAAAGCCTTGCAGTTAGCAGTAATACACTTCTACACAGCCTTTCTCGTGGCATTCACATCCAGTTGCTCAGTCTTTGGCTTCAAATTGGGATACAATCTAGCTTGAAACAGGAGTATAATATAAACAAAATATTCACATATCTACACGAGGGTTGGTAAATCAATCCGACAGGTGGCTTGTACTGGCAATCGCTCTGGATCACAGCACTCAGTCTTAACTCTTGATGGTTGTCTTCCCTCTGGTGGCTGTATTTTTATAATGTTTTATATCCTGTCATAACATCGTTTTTTAGACTTCCTTATGATACAACATAATTTAGAAAATTTCATAAGGAGTACAAAATTATATCTCTAAAAGATTGTCATGCCCTCGTAGATATGGTTACGTTGGCTGAGCTGTTTTGAAAGGAGAACAAACCTTTTTTTGCACGACTAGTGGAATTATCAGGAAAGCATCTTCAATGAAGTAAACAAAAAAAAAATTAGTAAGGAGAAGAATGGCTCTTCTATTTGTAATAAATATAAAAATTAACAAGTACATAACTTACAAATTGGGTATAAAGTAATGTACATTCATAAAATAGTGTTAACTATTACAACTTAAAGCATTCTATAATTCTATGTTGCGAGAAAAGAAACTAACATTTTACAACTGTATCTTATAGTAATATTCAGTTTCTTTTGGATGTACGAAGTGATACAAATCCCCTCAGAAATGAAATTATTTACACTTGCATCAGTGCAAATAGGTTACAAATTTAATTATTGGTGAAATTTGAAACTTCTACAGTTTTGTCAATAAGACAGGAATCTGGGATGTTTTAATATGTTCTTATGCTAAGATTCTTGAAACAGGACAAACTCACTTCTTTTGTACGCTGGACAAATTTAAATGGTATATAAATTACAGTTTTTCAAAAGCCAATTTTCTAATTGTCAAATCATTGTTCTAACTGCAACTAGGCAATCTCACCAAATTCTAATAATCAGAATAAATGTTGACAAACTTACAGTGTATGCATACAGACATAGTTTAGAAAACATTTACAAATGTGTTTTATAGGGGAAGTATCTTGATAAGTGTTATAGAAGACTAAAACAACTCAAAATGTACATGCCTATCTCTCAAACAAGCAAATTGCTTTTGTGTTTCCCATTTTGGGTACAAAAATAATTATTCTAAATAAAGAGATTTTTTATCATACGAAACATATGTAATATAGTTAGTTAAAATTTGTTGCCTCACTTTGTTATCAATTGTGTGGGTATCAAAATTAGCTTAAGACAATACATACCGAGTACAATTCCCAAGAATATTACTTCACATGTATACAACCTTAGATTTGTTTGAGTGCAAGTACATTCTTACCAATTCACAATACATCCAAACATTTAAAACTAATAAAATCAAAGCATCTCATTTTCTACATTCATTCTAAACAACTACTTTAACTCAGTTGCACTTTCCTAAAAAATACACCACTTCCCTACATTAAAACAATCAGAAAATATATATCTTATCTCCTTGAGCCTGCAAGAAGACTGTCATAGTCATCACATCAAATATTTCGCTTCTCAATATTTACTATCTACCACAATAGTAAAACCACCATGCATTTTTTTCTAAAAATACAATGAACATGCCACACTTTTGAGGACTAGGATTAAATGTTTCCGATTGAAATTCCTTAATATCTAGTGAAACAGATGTATTTTATATATTATCTTTGGAAGCTGTTTCTTTATCAATTCCATGTTCCATTTGAACATCGTAATTTATGCTTTCACCTATTTATTTTGTTCCCTCTACCTTAAATTTTTCTGAACGGTCAAACCGAAACCAGTGCTCATTCATATGTTCCAGGTACAAATGAAACACAGGAACACTTCATTTATTATTATCTGAGAATTTTGATATGATTCAGGATGGCGGAAGGAGGTATCTAACACTTGATCATCACTTACTGATAATGGAAATATTTGCATAAGAAGCTACTGTCTAGAAAGTTTCTACAGTAGTTTTCTCAGGATTTTTCTAAATTTATGTCACATTGAAAATATTGACTGAAACTAATAGTTTGGACCTCTTTTTCTTTTCTTTTCTTTTTGCACAAATTTCAAAGTACAATTGAGACTCTGGACACTTAAGGGATTAGTTTAGACTCTGATAGAAGTCTCCCTCAAAGCTTTGTACAACACTAAAACCTATCACAAATATTTACTTATTGCTAACAACTATGCTAAAGACTACAGGCTTTGTCTAATTTAAAGATCAATAAAATGAGTCTTCAGCATGTCACAATCTCTTCTGAAAACATTTTAGAGTAATAAGATATTTAGTTTTCCATTTCACACTAAATTACATCATGAAATATGACAAATAAAAATTTGAAAATTATGCTTTTTCATAATGATATAAAATGATTTTCTTAACTTCACAACATAATCCATGAATATAAAAATAGTATTACTGTTGCATTCTTTACACTTTTCATCTCTGCTTCCATTAAAAAACTGTTATTTCAGTAAGTGGTGGAGGTTTTTACCTTTCTAAAGTTGAAGAGAAAGATTCTAATTCTTTATCTGAGTTGTTCATATATTTGCAAACAATGCTTTTTAATTGTTCATTAAAATCAATGTGAAAGTTTCAACTACTTCAAAAGACAATTACACTTGTCATCTCAAGTTGTGGAAGTATTGTTTACCAAAAACAAGCTTTCCAAACATTTAATAAAGAACATACATAAATTAAAAGGCTATCAGATTTTTGCTGCCAATGCCAATTGATATCTTCTAGCAATATTAAATAATGTGAGGTTTTCAAATGTTATTACTAATACCAAAATGGATGCTGTTTCTCAGGGAGATAATCAGCATTTTTGTCCTTAATGTGATGGTTCGCCTACAGAACTGATGCTTGGTAGGCTGGGTGAAGGATGATGTCAGGAAACTGAAGGGTTTGCAGCGCTGAGATGATTTGCAATGCATCATCTGGAAGGGCAGGAGCTGGTTACCGACCGAGTACTCAATGCTGAGAAACCACTGTGGCCAGACTGCAGGCTGGACATGGACCCTCTGAAAGAATACAGTCATTTTTCTCTATTGAAAAACAAAGATCATTGGTTTTAAGAAATGCAAACACATTACTAAGATTTTAAATACTAAAGCCCTAATTTCAGTCTCTAGTAAATAATTCCCTAAAGAGTTCCAAAAATATTTTAGTGTTTTAATTAATAGTAATTGAAGACTACACACACTTCTATATAAATAATTAATATAATGTATGGTACTAGAATGTAACTTGAAACTTTATTCACAAGAGAAGCTTTAGCCCCTGAGATAATTTGTACTGTAAATGCTATTATCCATGCTTAATCGGAGCATCTGTTTTTCTTTCATTAAGATTATTAACAAGGAAATGTAAACAAAACATGCCATTATGACAAATGTAAATTGTTGAAATACATCGATAAATCTCTCAAAATTGATATTAATGGTGCCAAGAGCAATGAAATAAATTATCGATTCCATTGCAGTTTTTCTCAGATGCACGAATGTTTGTGAACTTGAGTAAAAGTTTTATATTTGATGAAGCAAATTTATTTTCCTCTCATTCAAGTTTCATGCTCAACTAAAATTATAATCGTCTTGCTTTATGACTTGTTGTTTTGTTTATTCTATCAATTATTATTATTCTAATAATTCTGAGTATTTTCCCCGTATTTTCTGAAGGAGCATTTGAAAATATAATAATGATGACGATAATAATAGATGCCAGTCTTGTGGCACACAGCAGTTGTAGTCTGTGCTGAGGGGTCTCCAGGTTTGCGTCAATTATTGCTTAGGCATGGTTGTATTTGTGATTATCCCTTCACCCTATCATCATCATCATCCTATCACTTCATAATTTAAGGCTTAACAACCTTGTCTTAGAAAGAAATATTAAGCTGATCTGCATAATTCCACATGTTAATGGTCATTAGGTATATTATTATTATTATTATTATTATTATTATTATTATTATTATTATTATTATTATTATTACTATCACTATAACTACTATTACTACTATAATTTACCAATCTTAAAAAGCACGAAAAATTTTGCACACTAGGGTAATGGACAACAAACCTGTAATCTGCTGAACGAAGTTTCTCATGATAATACATGACCTGTGCTTTGGGTGCTGTAAATGTATCCAACAGGTCCAATTGATGTGAACAATGAAATTTCCATTGAAGAACATATGTTCCCACATGACTTGTAACATGTGATCCCTAGAAAAAAAGTACGAACTCCTTGAGAGTGCAAATCTTTTCTCGTCTTGTTACCAAATAAATGTATTAAACACTTTGGGAGATAAAATAACACAATATACTTTAAACAATAATTGTTTTATAAAGACATGTAAAAAATTCACACACACACATATGCCAAAATAAAAAGATAATTCCAAAGAAAATTAATCAATCAAAAAATCAGTGATATTTTCACAAAGTATTATTTTACTTTATCAGTGGAAAAATCAAATTTTGATGTATAGCATGTCATAAATTTAGCTATTTTCAGAATTTACACAATAGTGGCACTCACTATAAATTAAATAGTGCCACAGAAAAATATGTCTACATTTCTGATCCCAGAGTTTATAATCATGCTCATTGCCCACAAGTCTGGTATTTATAATCAAAAACAATAATGTGTAAACAGTATTACTTATGAACTGCAAATAGTGTGTCTTGAAAGACAGTACGTATGCCACATTATTACTTTTACTGTCATTCCAAAATTTTCATGGCACTAGAGAACAAAAATTTTCATCGCACCAGACGTAACCCTTTTACATTTTATTTCTAGTATTTTGAGACAGGCAAATAATAAAATAAGTAAATGTAAGTTTGATATTAGTAAACTATCAGAAAAATGTCATAAGTCTCACCTGGACACTTTCACCATCATGGCAAATAATGGGAATTTCCACCCGAAAGTATTCCTTTCCTTCCTTCCAGTTTTTGTCCAATGCAGACCGGTGTTCTGGGTCCAGCGCCAAGGGGTTCATTTGTTGAAACGCTTGAAGAGGGCCTAGCATTTCACAGTTATTAGCACATTAATTGGAAATGAAGTTTCATAGGAAAAAAGGCAAAACAATAAATTAGCAACTGTTCCTTTTTCACAAAACCAATGCAATTTTCTAGAAACAAGGAAACTGTCTAACTTATCTTGACATAAGCTACATATTATTGATGAAAACCATAGAATGTTATCTAAACCCCATAAAGTAATTATTTTCATAATTTTTGAAATCCTACAAGAGATTATTAGTTATAATGAAGACCTTGACAATATCACTGATTAATTTAAAGGAATTTTATCCACAATGGCTCATAAGAAAAATAATCAAGTCCCTAAAAAGACATTGTATCATGGATTGGGGAGGCTATGGAAATGGATTTAGAAAATGTGATGACTGACACAGCTAGATACTAAGGATTATAAAAATGATTGATGTTATGTTTTTAGAACTGTTTTCAATATTACACTTGATACATATCAAGATTCTAATGTGTTTGCAATTTTGTAACAGGTCAAAATACTGGATTGAACAATATTTTACAGGATTGACTACTTTTGGAAAAGAGGGTTATATTACCTGTCACAATGAGTACACAATATATTTAAGAGAAACATCTTGCAAGATGTTTGTAAGTCAAGGTTCGCTGTTTTATTCATGTTTTGAACAAAATATCAACACTAGTGTATTTCCAATATCAGGCTGCAGTAATGGTAGGGAGAACATTTGACACCACAATTTCCTTTTCAAACATTTTGGGAAAGTTGTTTCTCCCTGCCACATTTTCAATCAAGAAGGCACTCTTTTTGTCAAGTGTTAGGTTTACCGTGTATGTTTTCTCAGAATTCTCCTTTTATTTTGTTTGCAGTAAATATTATTTCAATTTTTGCAACAAATAATATTTCTCCATGGAATTTAATTGGACAATTATTGGTTGGTGAGTCAGTTAACCTTTGAGCCTAAGTTGAATGCAGTTGAATTCCTTCGTAGGTGAAGGAAAAGCAACTATATGCATTATTGCAGTAGAAGTAGGTGGCCAGCCGAGTGTGCCATCTCCACATAGTGCCTCAACATCTAGGTTCTGATGCCCTTCAAAAAGAGGTGTCTTCGCATGAAGGTATTATGCATTGAAGGGTTCAGGAAGGAGATCAGTAAGTTACTTTGAAGAGATCTGTACTCAAGGATCACCTTCAGCATGGATATTCACCTATCTCTTATTCAGTTTACAACACATATTTTACCTTCACAATTTACAAGAAAAGAACTGAAAACAGTTTTTCTTGGTGGATGTCAATAACACACAGTGGGTAGAGAAAATGTTTGGACCTTAACGGGATAGTAAGGGAACTTTAAGGAATATCTCAACAAATAAATTAGGGTCCTAATCAGGATAAAAACAATAGGAAGCTGGACTAATCTCTTCTACATTTCAATTTCAGTGGCAGTTCGTAAATTCAAAAGTTGGTGGTTTACAAAAATATGTGGCCAAGTGGTTCAATAGTCTGTCAACAAACTCAGCAATCTGCAAGGTTCTGTGAGTTCTGGAAAGGAGGCAAGAACTCCTCTACATTTAATGCAACTGGTCGGATTCACTCTTGTATGGAGGAATTAAGCATTAGTTTTCAAACAACTTTTGTAAAATAAACATTGCAAAAAAAATAATGATTTTGGGATCTGAATTATTTTCAATTGAAGCTATAAAAATTTAATTGAAATAAAAAATAAATGCTGAAGAAAATTACTTTTTTGTTTCCTTATCCATTGAAAGTAACAAATATTTCAAACAACTAAAGATATTTTAAATACCTGATGAACTGTGATGAGTTATTGGCATGTGAGTTCTATATACAGTAAACATGATATCTTGGCGCATTACATCAAAGTCCCAGGTGATGACACTTCCAGGGTCATCATTGGTAATCAATACTTCATGTACCTAGAAATAATGAGACACATTAAATTACACTTCAAACGTAGAAGAAGAAATCAAAAAATGAACAGTCTAACACGAATTAGGAAATGGTACTTCCAAATCGATGAGGCTCTAGCTCAATAAACAAATACTAATAAAGACCACGTACACAATCTTTGACTGAAAAAGAAAATTTCTTAAACAAAAATTAGAATGTGAAAGAGTCACCAAATCTGTGAAATTTTCAAAGTGAGTAACAAAATCAGTTTGTAATGATACCTGGCAATCATATCCTCACCACTTTTTCTTCTAAATATGATCGTTACTTCAAATTTGTAGAGTTAATGAGTGTAGTCCATTAATTTTTTATTTTTCCCCCCAGTATTTATTGGTATAGTTCTTAGCCCAAAATGGTTTCTGATCCCTTGTCCATAATAAACAGAAACAAACCTGGCCTTTGCCGAGACTGATTGAGTGATAGATGCTGTCTTCAGTAAGTGGACAACCCTCCTTCTCCAGTTCACTTTCTGTCATGTACAAAGACTTGGGCACCAAGCCCCCTTCTTGTACCATTGTCTGAAACAGAGATATTTTTAACACATTTATAAACTTTTTCCACTGAGAAAATGAGTGTGCCAATGTTGTACTTGTGTTCCAGGAGCATATTCGCTGCGGGGAAGACAGCGTGCAATACCGTTTCAGTAACAACTGAATAGAATTGCCACCTCATCAGGTTTGATCTTCACTCTGCACGTTTTGATTGTCATCTTTATGCCCTGAATATTCTTAATATCTTCAGAGCATTGTTCATTGAGTTGTTTTTGATAAATGCAAGACAAAATAAACAAATAATTTTTCTTGGAATTAATTGAAATATTTATTTTTTTGGGTGTCTTTTCTTTTAAAACTAGAAAAACTGAGACATTTCACAAATACTGCATGTAAGTGAACAGCCAATAAAATGATTGAATAAAATATCTTTGAAAAAACAATAAATTACTGTAACTCCATGTTTAATATTTTAAAATTTTAACTTTTCGGTAACTAATAATGAATAATTTTTCATATTTCAGAAAATTAATACTAGCCGTGCAAAAATATTAAAAATATACCATATCATTATTCAATTTTTAAAACAATCCAAATACGGTTAATTACATAATGATAGTATTTTGTGATAAATACCTAAAGAATAATTAGGTTATACTATTTCACATTAAAAAAAATTATTATTTTCAGAGAATTTTAAAAGAAGTGTGTTTTGAAAATTTGATTTATTTTATTACAATGGAAGGCAGATATATTCTGATAATGCCCATTATGTATTACTTTTCCTTCCACTTACCCACATATCTGTTTGAGTTATCTTTTACTGTAAAGGTGGCAACCCTAACTGTGAATGTGTCAATAGGGAAATTAAGCATGGCATAGTGTGCAGCAATCTCAATCTTCTAGCCATGAATAGATGCTCAAAAGTGTTGGGAAATTCGAACTGCACATGTGCAGAAGATTGATAGTGCTGTTGATTTTTGTAACACAACGCCATGATTAAACTCCCTATTGTGAATCATAGTGGACCAAAAAAATTTTTAATGGCTCTGCCTTTGCAGTGTACTTGATAGTGAGGGAGCAACATAAGTGAAAATGTTTTGAGCAATGGCAGTACACAAAGCTACTTTTGCTTGTCATAATGATAAAAAAAAATCACAATTCCAACAATCAATATATCATTAAAAAAGCCATTGCCATTCAGGTCACCCCAGAACCTAACTCTCCAACCAAAATCATTGAAAATGATGTAAAAACTGCAAAGAGGGAAACATTTTTTCCCAAGAGACATCAAATTGGCTAAAAATTCCTGAATTTTCAAGTTGTTCTTGATATTCATTGGCTAGACATATAAAATTAAAAACTTACTCTTTAACCAAGTTCTAGAAAAAGCTCTTGGAGCAAAATAAACATACATTTGTAACAAAAGTGTTATGATACTTATATTGTACCACCAATATAAATATGTAGTTTAGAAATGTTGATACACATATCACATAAGAAAATTGGTTTAATATTACATTTGTTTAGATTGATTTTAAGGCATTTAAGTTTTCAACACATGTAGCTTTGCACAGCTTATATCCCAGCTTTGTTCTTATATAACAATAAAGAACAGTTAAAAGACAATTTTACAATGAAGTGTAGGGGCAAACTTTTAATATTGTTTTGCCTCTTTGCATTTTTCATTGTTTATAATCATTAATTATAGATTTTTTTTAAAGACAGCATATTATTGCAATTTTTCATAGCACTGAATAACCTGAAAGACATACAAGAAAAAGCAGCTGTGAAAAGTAGCTTTAAATTTAGACCTACTTTTCTCAACACATGTGAAGGAAGTGAGATACTGAATATCCTGTAAAACATTATAACTACAGCAGTTACTTAACACTAATACTAAAGCAAACTAGTGCACTACATGGGGTTGTGGGGAAAGTCTCAGATGACTAGAAGCAAGCAGAGATTTACAATGCTTGCAATGAAATCTTACACGAATTCCTGGATCCTGCCAGAGAGAGTAAGGCACGACCCCAGGGTCATCGGGAACTGCTGGCTGCAGTGTATAGGGCAACACATCACTCAACGCTCTAAACGAGACTCAATTCATAATGATATTCGTTTGAGGTGAAGCAATCAAAACAGTGCAACTAAAACGACACCAACAAGTTTTCCCTTTTGAAGTCGATAACCTCAAGTAACAATGACAAAATTGCAAATGACAAGAATATGAAAAGAAATATTAAATACAGAAGTAGTTAAAATTGGAACTCAAACTATGACAAACAAGGTTAAATTAGGAATTGATGAAATCAAAAGTGAATCCTCCGATTACATTTGGAAAAATATTTGCTTTATTTTCACTAACTTTTATCATTTCTTTTTCTTCTTCTTTTGGAAGCACAAGTTCTTACAACTATTGTAGTGATAAAACTTTCTTTTAACAGGCAAAACTGGTTGGTATAGTCATTTTCTTCACTTCTTCACCTCAAAAGAAATAACTCCTATTTTATAACACCTTTATCTCCCTTTCAATAATTTCAATTAATTTTTTTCCTGACTGTGCTTAATTAAGCCATAGATGAGCCTAGTACTTCAATTCATTATTAATGATTACAGCAAATGTTACCTGACAGAAAAGTACCAATCACAAAAAATTGACTTATAACATATCAACTATTTATTACATTGCAGTTTCATTGCTTCTTTCATAAACAATTTCAATATTGCTTTAATGATTTTTTCTGAAATTCAATCTTTAAAGTTAAATTTGATTTTGAATGATTTGAACAACTACATGAAATGTTAATATTAATCAATTGGTACTTCCAGATTTCTTTCAAAGAATATTTCTTTCTTCGTATGTTGTAATCTACTAATCTCTAAAAAGGAATAAATCAATTGTTGCTGGGAACCTTTGATGAATTGTTGATATTTCTTATATTATTATGTAAACATTGGTATGTAAACTATAAATGTTACAAAGTACCTGATCAAAGCAATCCTTCATTTATTTTATAAATAAGCATACTTTCTGAAGTACAGAGTCTTTAAGTATAATTTTAATATACATGTCTGACCAATACAGTGAGCTGCAAGTGTCTTCAGTAATATCAACCTCCATTCAACTTAAGATGTGATAAATATCATTCACACTCATAAAGAAGTTTCAAAATTTCAACACAGGGATATAATCTCAATGGCATTTCTCAAAAATAAGGTTCACCAATAGCTTTCACAAGAAAAATATGCTGCACAATTAAACTCACCCTGCAAGGCCCTCCTAAAAAGTCTGGAACAAAGTCTTCAGGAATGTAATCTACCAAGCCCCCAGGGCCCTGATAGTCATTTCCTCCATAGAAGAAAAATTTACTTCGTGTGTTCTCATCTAGACAATAAAGAAAGCTTTAAGAAAAATTGCACAAAATGTAATAAAAGTTGGGCTTTATCATTCACTGAATACTTACGAATGAATGTGCTAACTAACGTCCATAAAATTGGAAATACTCGAGGGGCACGAATGATTAGTACACGACCCATTGTTTCTGGATAGTTGGCCTCCACAATTTCAATTATGCGAAGAAGAGCCTGTAATAAATGCACCAAAATGTACACTTTAGTATCTTAAAATAGAGAATATAAATTTGCTGCCTTGATAGGCAGAAATAGTAAGATATTATTGTGCAGAGAAAACAAGTTATGACTTTTCAAATAATAGGAATGTTATTGTGTTTCATTACACTCCTAATGTTTGAAGTAAACAGTTGTTGATACTACAAAAAATTCAAGGGTACTCACCCTGACCCCAGGTCTCCATAAGTGGCGCATGTTCAATCCTTCCAAGTCAACCAACATGGACCAAGTACTCACAGGATGCCCTTGAATACGAGTTGCTTCATCCATTAATTGCAGTCCTTCTTCACATACATGTAGTGTCTGAAGAAAGAATATTCTTTGTGCCATGTATTTAAACAGATGATTACAATAGTAAATTAATCAATCTTTTATAGCATGTCAAGAATGATCATTATATTATTATTAAATTGAAGTATTATAATTATTTGTTTTTTAAATGATACTTATTATTACTAATGTTTATAATTATCATCATCATCGATCAATCATCACCATCAACATTTTTATTATAATTGAAATGTTTCCCTTCAATTTCATATTGCTAATTATGAAAGAACTTACTAATTGCAACAGTCCTTCTTCTCCTATTGCTTTGTATAATCCTTTCACATCCATTTGACCTAGGCGAAGCAAGTAGAGAGGTCGCCCATCTGAAGAAATGAAAACAAGAAAAGAAGAAATTATTTACATCATTCACTAATTTCATCACTTAACTTATTCTCAAACAATTAATATCCTTTGTTACAAGAAAACAGCTACCAGTACCTTCTCCCACATTTTAGATTGGTTCTATAATAATTCATAAAGAAGAAAAAAACATAGTATCTCCAAAAATAACATTGAAAGACAAGAATTCAATAATATTAATTATCAAAATAACAATAAATTATTTGTAAAAGTATATCAAGATATTCTGCAAATTGACACCTCAAAGAAAGCATAACGTTCTGAGGAAATGCCTTTTTTTTTCTTTTGCTGAGACACTTAATGGAAGTTGTGCATTTTTATCTAACAGAGATGTTTATACAACTCAGGGTGTTCATCAAATTTCTATACATTATCAGAAAGCTAATTTCAATTAATCCATTGTTCTTTAAAATACTTTGCCCAAGAATAAGACACACACTTAAAATAGAAGCAAAGACAAGAAAATAGAAGTAGTTTTTTTGTTACATTATTGTCTAGCGCACTTACAGAATAATAGTAGAATAACATTCAACCATATTTTATTTGGAATTTGCCCACTAATTCTTTAAATGTTTATAACATTTTCTAATACTCACAATATTTTGACAATTTGATGTCTTACATAGAAATTGGTTTTGACAAAAAATACCTTTATCGTGGTGGTGCCATCCACCAGGGAAGTAGTCGCGCACAACAGAAGGAGTCTGATACTCAGACAGAATTTTATCCACTTGATGTTTCTTTCGCCAAAGAAGTGATGCAGAGAGCATTTCACGTGCTTTCTCCACATTGAAGTCACGGGCTCGGAGAAATCTTAGGAGGGTAGAATCACTTAAAACCTGAAGAATAATATGCAAATAAATGAAAACTTTACAGAAACACCTTTCTACAATGTAATTTGATTACAATGAAATATATACTTTCACAAAATGCAAAATAACTGTAAGAGGAGAAATCTTAGAACACGTATCCAGATGGAATTACCTAGATAACATTATTATCCAGATTACTTTAGTAGGAAATGACAGATGATCCCTCACCTTCCCCTTCTGCAAGTCAGCAACCCATTTGCGTAGCTGCACAAGGCATGACTCTTGGACCAAGCTCAACTCTCCAAGATACCTCTGGATGTATTCACTATCTAGTTGGAAACCAGCATCTGTAAACAAAAGTACAAGAAAGAAATGTAACACAATGGAATTTATTTTACCAAGTATAACTCTTATCATAAATACTATATGACACTGCAATTTTGAGACAGGATCAATAAAAAATATTTTTTATCCTTTGGTATTCCAGACTTCATTGTTGCATTTTGCACTACCAATAATAAAAACCATTATGTGATATGAACAATACTTCATACTTAATCTGATTGCATTTTCTATCATGGATCAGATTTACTAGCTGCCTAAGGAAATGAGAAAGTATGAGAATTGAATGAATATTGGTATCAGTCATCAAATCAAAGCAAACAGGAAATTATATAAATGACAGATAGCACATGTGATCAATGGCAGGTTCAGAAAATATTTCAGGAAAAAGAGGTTTTAAAATACAAAGGTAGTATATCTACAAAGAAAATGAATTATGTACAGTAATCCTTCAGTATAGTATTTAAGTGAAGCTGACTTTCAATTAGTAGACCTTAATTTATAAATGGTTTGAAAATAGAACATCTAAACCACATTTTTATTGATCTTTCCACTAGTATTCCACTTACTAGAAATAATGTGAATTTAATCTCTTCATAAATTTTTTAAATGTAACATTTTAAACAATTAGCACAATATTAAAACAATGTTGTTATAAAATGGCACAGACTTTATCATCCTATTTAGTTTCCTAATCTCTTTAGTCTGGATGAGCTCTTCTGTTTTTTCTACTAGCGCCTAAAAGACCTTCTTCCCACATTTTCTCAACTTTTTGTTTTCCAATAACAGATTTAAAATGTAACTATAAACACATTGTAGAAGAATAAAACAAAGTCCATTATACAAATTAAAATTTTGAAAAATTTGGAGCCTTTTTGGAAAAAATGTTTCAGCATGTGAAAATTCATGTACATTTTCACCAAAAACTTTTTAATTCGAGAATTTTCGTAAGAAATCATTTGAAGAACTTGAACTTGTGAAATTGCATTTGTGTGTGTGTATGTTTTCCACATCAGCAAAGAAATCAAATTTCCAGTTCAAATTGACAAAATCAAGAATAGGAAATTGATAAGTTGAAGTTACTTGCCTGTAGATAGTGGAGAACTTGCTTGTTTTCCTGACATGGAAGAGGAGTTGAGATTAGATGCTGACGCACCAAGAGCAAAATCTGCAGAGCAGTTTATTGTCCTCCTGTAAGCAGATACCTGCATTGTTTATGTTATAATGTAAAATGTCGCAGAGCTGCGACCTCATTATGTCATACCTTGACGAATAGTCCTATACTTTCTGTATTCATAACATTAACTTCCTTCCCATAAGTTAATTCTAATTATCATTGGCAAATCCACATGAAAATTTGCATGACCCACAAACAAAAAGGTATTTGGCTAAAAACCTTCAAATTCATCTCAAAAATTGATCACCATATTAACTGCAGTAATAGCCTAGCATAGGAATTTCAGTGTGATGTCTGTCTTCAGTTAGAGCTACACACAGTATGCTTTTCACTCGTATTGGCAAGAAACAAATCACAAAACATAACCAAGATCAGCACGTAAATATTAAAGACATTTAGAGCAAACGGTTTTAAATATTGTAAGATCAACTTACTGATCGTCTTCTTGTTCTTCTTCGTTTTCCTCTTCTTCACAAATGATCTCTTCAGGTTCTTCCCAACGGGGAACGTCAGTTATGCCTTCAACCTTCAGTTCATTGATAAAATGTTCAATAATTTCTTTGCCCTAACAAAAAACAAACATTTATTTGATAGCTCCAATTCAATTGAAAAAGAAAGTACAACTATAAAAAGTAAAATATAACAGCATTTTTAAAACAATCTTTTGAATTGTGATGCAGTAAATGGTGATAATGAAATATATACAAAATATTATGATTAGTTATTACCTACCTTTGAAATGTTTTGTGTGTACTGTTTCATAGCCAATTTTTCCATGGAATTCTCAAATCCAAAAAAGGATTTTATATCTAAACTTGCAGATTGTTCAAAGCAAGTCCATTCTGAATTCTCAGGATGCACCTACAACCCAAAATTGTTGAACATTTACAACATGATCAATACAATCGTCTAGGCAACTCGCCACCAACGGAAGATGAATACAAAGCCACAGGAGTTAAAAAGGTCTACCTCAGCCATGAAAAATTATGGTTACTCTTAAATGAAATCTTATGATGAGCTCAGTCCATCAGCATACAATGGCAACTGGTTCAGCCTGGAGTGGCACAGCTAAGCTCTAGTCATGTGACCTCTACCACTGTTTTATTAAAAAGATCCATTGTGATATCTTGTACCAAACTTGAAAGGTTTTGCAGTTGTTGTTTTTTTGTTTCTGAAAGATTGTTGTTATACTCACAAAGTATTTGCATCGTTCCATTACTTCCACTCTACTTGAAAATGTTTCATTGTAAGCTTCTATATGAAGTACTCTTTGTCTTCGGTCCAAGCAGTTCTTTTGAATAAAATACACAAAATCAACACCAATAATCTGAAATAAATAAAAGTGAAATTTATACACACTAATAATATGTCAGTTCACAAAACATACATTTTACAAATAAAACACATACACTTAAGTGTAATATATCATTAGTGCTTTATTTAATTGTATTGAAAAGTCTCTAATTTTTTAATAACACTGAAATGAACAGACTTTAAAGAAATCCTGTGTCCTTATTAATATTTTCTCAGTTAAGGAAATTTAAACCAGAATAAATGGAGTTTTCCTCTTAAAATCCCTCTGCAAAGTGGATTGTAACCATGGTTACAAAACATTCAAGACCATAAACTTATTGATTAGAATATAAATATGTACTTGGAATAATTATCTTTGAAGACAATAAAGGTTTCTTTAACTCGTTTATGAAATTTGATCATGAAAATGTAAATAATTAAGAACAACTAGAATAGTAATATTTCAAGTAGGCTACTACATTCACACTAGTAAGTTTATGCACCTCTCCATACTCTTCCTCATCATATGCATGGCTGTACACCATTATCACGAAAATGTATTGATAAAAATCAATAAACGCAAAATTTAAATAACGCATATCAGTATGCTGAATTAATTCGCCCACAGTACTTACTTCAAGAACTTCTACAAATTTCATGGACTACTGGGGACACGTCTGGTTTTTGTTAAGTGCAACACATTACAAGACGCTCATATGGACAGTGTGTCAGTTCATGCAATCTTCATGGAAGCCAGGGGCTCGGATGACGGTGGGATCAAACATTTGCACTTCCTAACAATCCATTTTCACAAGAAGTCGAAAGTTTTTTGCCTGAGCTTCGAAAGTTCAGAAAGTCATAGGGGGAGGACTTCCCACTGGCTTATCCCTAAAAGCTATCCCTGGTAAGTGCGTTCAGAGCATTTAATGCAACTTAAGTGCACTGAACCAACATCGGTATCGGCGACCGTTACGACGACGCTTTACGATTAGGCCTGCCGGTGAGAGAACATAGCGGGCTCGAGCCCGACAAGGTACCAAATCGTAGTCCGGTTGCTCTGATCAGTGGTTTCCCTAAACATTTGTACGCAAATCCAGGAGCGGCATCCTATGCAACAGACCACGCGACGTCCTCCTTTCCCATTCTCAATCATCAGTGCCTAACTTGAACTGGTGCGCCTTTGGGGAGACCGTGCCGATCCCTCCCCATCATAAGTGGCATATGCACGAGGAGAAGAGGCTTTTGAGCTTTATACGAAGCTCGTATGTCGCAACCGTACCACTAGAACAACGCAGAACAGTCAATTCTGAGCGGTACCCAACGATTTGTTTGCCAGCTGTCTTCCAAGAAATCAAGAAAAGCAACCGCCGAAGACGGATCACTCTTCACCACGACAGAGCGAGCTCTCACACATCGGTTCAAACAACTGCATTTTTGAGCACCCAAAACATCGATTTGATGAGTCATCCGCCGTATAGTCCTGACTTGGCACGGAATGACTTTTTTTATTCCCGTACGTAAAAAACAAACTAAGAGATCAACGTTTTTCGTCACCTGAAGAAGCGGTTGCTGCATTCAGAATGCATGTTTTGGAGATACCTCAATCAGTGGCAAAAATGCTTCGACAATTGGTTCAAACGCATGCAAAAGTGCATAGATCATCTTGATTTTCGATGATTAATATTTGTTTTTGTTCTCTAATCCTGAAATATAAAAGGCAACCCATGTATATCGGCATAAAAGCTGAGCTCTTTCAGCTCTTTGAATAATAGATCCTGGTGGACGCAACCAGCTCGGCGTTAATGCGTTACACGTTTTGTGTTGCAGCAACCCCTACAACCGTAATGGGATCGACACGGGGAGGTGAAGAAGAAAGCACGATAGAACTACAGATTTAATCCAACGCTGTGCTTTGATTGACTGATTAGCTATTCCGGGCACGTCAACTGCTAAGGTCATCAGTTCTGTAAGTGTAGTGCATGTTATTATTGCGTGATGTGGTAGTGATCTTCCCCTGCTGGATGGCGCCGACCTACGTCGGCTTGGGATTTTCGCCAACCAGATATCTCTCACCAGCGAGGGACCGGCCCAGCCCGGGGGAAGTTCTATGCTCCCGACAAGTGTGGCAGTGTAGTGCATGTGAAAGTTCGTGTAAGTAAGGAGGAGAAATGAAAGATCGCACGCGGTCCGAGGCAGGAATGTTAGGGTTAACGGCTCATGCACTGAGCCACTTTTGCCGATACCGTGAGCTCTGAATTCACATGAGTAATGAATTTGTACATTCGTATTTCTCGCTGAAAAAGCTCCCTGGTAGGACTAGGCCTCGTCAGCCAATACAAGGAAAAAATAAGGCAAGAAAAACTGCAATGTTGGCTACCTTCTTGAGCAGGTAGGGCGCCTCGACGAGCAGCTTGCAGCGGCGCTCCTTTTTGTGGTGGGCGCCGTCTTCGGACGTCTCGTCCGCCAGCACCTCGCAGCCCACGAACACCGGAATCTGCGGGCACGTGGGGAAGCGGCGCTCGTACGCCTGCAACACAAACGCATTCATCATCCAACCATCCGAACTCGCTCGCTACTTCACAATAGACCCTTTGAAGAAACAATCGACCTCAGAAACAGAAAGTAATTTCCGCAAACACGGTTCCATTTAAAGCGCGACAGTGAGTTGAAAATGCTGATATTACACTGAATAGATCTGGAGAACTTCCCGACAGTGCTAAGATACGTGTACTAAACCATCATGTCGAGGGAGAAACATATTAATTTCTTTCTCTTTAATAGGGTAATGAAAATAATAATAATAATAATAATAATAATAATAATAATAATAATAATAATAATAATAATAATAATTTTCCTCCATTTTTAACAGTCAGGTGGCCTCTTGAAGTGATTACCTCTGGACAAGTCAAGCCATAAATGCAACTTCCACAATAGGGCGGTGACTCTATGCACTCCGTGACTAAAAGTTGGGACAAAACTTTTCTGCGCTGCACACTGTCAATGTTTCACAAAAACACCGTTAAGATATAACGACTACCGCGTTACTACGCAACTACACCGTTAAGATAGTATGGTGAATATCAGTTTCTTGTTCTATGGCAACACGAATACCAGCATCTGATTTCATGGGAGTTTGCATGGTGACCATCACTCAAATTTACGCTTTAGTTTCTTTAGTGTGATGCCGGGGTCACTGGCCTGATTAGTGATAAGCGACTTTTGTCTTTCACAATGTGCGCCGAACTGAGTTCATTTTGGCCCATTGCCACGAAGCGCGTTTCCAAAAACTATGCGTGAAGCAGCATGGAATCTGATTTGTTTCATGTTCATTTGTAGCTGGCAGATTTTCCACAGTGGTGGTACTCATAGACACGCTTTTACGGACCCCATATTTATGCTTGCAAACACGTAAATACGTGTCTGCAACGTTGCACAAAAAATACTCACTTTTTATTATCTCTGTTACATATTGGGTATAATGCATTTTCATGAAACATTTTAATCTCAAAATTGTGATGGAAATTTACTTAGTACGGGTACTTTGATCAGAAGTTTTTCTTTTAAAAGTTTGTATTTTTCCCGTCTGCACGACATGACCTCTTCCAGTTGCTTTTTCTTTCTCGCTCTTACGAATGTAAGAAAAAGTATTGTAATTGTGTACCGGAAAACGTCGAATTTTCGACAGAAAAAAACTCAATATCGGATCCAAAAGTGCATAAATCATGTTCCTGTATATAGTAAATTACTACCTCTAATATGCGGTGTATCCAGAATGCATGTTTTGGGGGTCCTTGATACCAAACAATTGATTATCGGCAAAACTGTTCGTCTTTCTGTCCGTCTCTTTGTCTGTCCGTCCGTCTGTGATCAAATGCTAGCATTTAAGCCGCTCAGACAAGTTTATCCAAACTGATATCCCTCCATCGATCTGAACTAACTCGAGGCTTTGGTAATTTCAAATGGGTATTTTGTTTTTTGAGGGTACTTTACATGAAACTTCAACATTTTCAAAATGTTCTCTCAGAAACGGCTCCGAATTTTGTGCTCGGGTAGTGTAAAGGATGCTTAAGTGAATGGTGCAGTTCTCATGTCCGTTGAAGTCTCTTAGATTTCAAAAATTGCAAAAGCGCAATTTTTTGAGATGTCTTCCTACAACTGCAATATTGTAGACAGATTTTTTCCTTAATGAAATCTGCCTTTTAAAGATAAATCTAAACTAACATGTTAATTGTTTCGAAATATGAGTAGTTTTTGTATAATTATGCGCGAAATGTAGGCAATTTTTAATTTTTGAAACATTTTTCTTCTCACTGCGAGTAAACCAGGCGAGTTCGAGTCCCGGTGCGGAAAAAAAATTGCCGGTTAAAAACACTTTTGTAGGTTTATGTTGTATAAAATATCGTAGCAGTAAGACATAATGCGGGAAAGAATGTGTTATAGCCCTAGTTTTCTACTCTTTTCTTCAAAAATAGGTATTCTATTATCAATCTGCTTAAACCCTAGTTCCAGTGAATTTGAGTCCAATAATTTTATTGATTTGATAATGATTTCTTTACAAGTTTCTTCAAATTTTGATTATTTTTGCGAACAACAAACAAAAATGGAACTTTTACAACAATACTCAATTCCTTTTTAAATATCACTCAAAGAATTAAAAACTACGTTAAGAAACTGCTCTTCTGAGATATTCGAAAAGTTGTATTACGATTAAAATTCGAAAACACAAAATAATATATGAAAAAACAGGCGCATTTTCGTAGGAGTATTTTCCATTAAGAGCCTAGCGTGCCTCAGCTGATTGTGGGCGAGTGGGCGGGCGCAATATGGAAGGCGTCAGGTGGCACCGCGCTCAGCCCTGGCCAGATAAGCGCACCATAGCGACCGGTCCCCGCCTTCGTAATGTTTTTAGACAGTCGCTAGTAACAGCTGCTGTTTGAAGTCATGCTTAACGTTATAAAATCTCGATTTTTAGCACTAGTGCTGACAGTGAGACGATATTCAAGTTTTCAGGTAAATCTGTGAATGCAAAAAAGGAAACAAAATACTTTGACTGTATCAGCCACAAATGACCTCAATGAATTATTTAATGATTTGTTTACTTAAATTAAATAAGTCAGCCAGACTGACTAAAAATAATAAAGGTGATTTTATTTTGCCTCAGGGTTGCACTACTCGCCTAACGGCATCGTGTTGCAACATTTCCTGCTCACAGAATAAAATGTTTACAGATCGTATCATAAATAACGATTACACCAACAGCTAAAGCAAACCGCTGATTATAGGACAAACGTTTAAAAAGTTGAGGTGGTTAAGTTAGATTAGCAAAACAATCGCCACTGTGACGCTTTTCGCTGCGAATTTCCAAGTCGCGGACATTTGGCCTACGCGATTAACATTATAATACCCTCGAGCCCGGTCAACGCCATTTTACAACCCATTGTATATCAAATTACAGTTACATATTTATTTGATTCACTTCCCACTATTACCGAAGTGTTTCTACTTAATTAAATAGGTGCATTCCACACGTGTTACATTTAGCCATATGATTTATCTGTTTGTAAAAAACAACGTAAAAGTAGACAATTTTAAATCTTCGTCCAATTTACGCACATGCAATTTATAAATAGAACTTTTAAAATTTTCAGTTTCAAAAATATATTGACACTTCGATCATTAACTCGTTTCCTTGACTGCAGAATCATGATTTTGAACTTCTCCATAAATAGCAATCTATTACTTCTGCTCCCTTTACGACCCATTTGGATAAAAATATTAGAAGCTCGAAAAAAGAATGTTCGAAGCATTTATAAAATTTCAAAATACTCGTAGTACGCTTGCACTATTCATTATGGATATCAAAACTGACGTAGAAAACAAAACTGCAAAACATATACTATTAGCGGATTGTACACAGGTGGGGAGAACGTTTTGTTGAATATATCTCTCCACCTCCTAATGTTCGGATAAAACACACGCGCGCGCGCGCGCGCGCGCACGCACGCACGCACGCACACGCTCGCGCACACCACAAGGCATGATATCCCGACGGTTTCAGCCACGAAATATATTTTCCGTCTGACCAAGCAGGAGTCATCTTCAAATGCTGAATGTGATTAGCAAGAACTGTTTCCCCATTAATAAAGCGAAAAACGAATTAAGCACTTATTTATTTTTATTCTATTATGTCCTTCTCTAACGTCCATTGGTACCAATATTTTCTCCTTATTTCTCTCTTTTCATATCTATATTGTTATACCTGGGAGGTAGAGGGGATTACGTCATGAGACCGGAAGAAGCGATATCCTGTTTTAACTGGTGCGTTTGGCGTTCCCCCGGTCTGCAATTTTCTTTGATAAAGTAACATTCGATCTCACGTCGACTTGTGGGATTCCCCCTCTAGATGTCTTCTTTAAATAGGCACTGCCAAAACTGGAAATGTCTGGTAATGTGTGGTATAGTATAACGCATGTGCCTCCTTATGTTTGTGAAAGGGGAGAGCATGGAACAAGGATAAAACTAGTGGTGGTAAAACAGCACGTACTATCTCGCCCTTAATAACGGTTACGTTACATTATTTATAACGCAATTTCTGTCCGAATTAACACATCTCAGTCATCTTGTTTTGTAAAACTCATTGTAAATCGTAGAACATGAAGTGCGATAACTAAATATATTCAAGCAAATGTCAAAACAAATTCGACAAGTAAAACTGAGTTTCATACAGTAAATCATGTCCTAACAATGAGACGGAATTCACAGAACTACAACTGCCATCGTGCTGCGCAGAACGCCATTGTATACCAATCTGATATTTCCTGAAGGCTAGCAAATGGAGCTCGGGATATTAGAATTTGCCAAATTACACCAAACAACTCATATTTTTATAAAAATGTACATTACCTTTTTTTAAAGAACTGATTTCCTAGAATAGATTTCATTTAACAAAAAAAGAACTATAATTGAAAATGTACCTTTGTAATGTTGATTTTGTTTGTATATTTGTAAATGTTTCCTCCAAAACCTAATTAGGCTAATTTTAATTAAGGTTGTTATATATTGATGTTATAAGCCGCGACGTCCTTTTGTATTAACGCCACCTCAAACGAAGCGCGGGAAATTTGAACGTTCCATTTAGAATTTTTCACTTTTTGAAAATGCAAAGCGTGCGCCGAAAATGGCACAATTTACCGTTCTTGGCTACGTATATGAAAAAAATTAAAGGAAAAACTGAAGCCATTTCTGAGAAAATAATAGTTTAAAAATTGTCCATGACATCATATTACGCAAAATAACTTCATATTTTTGAGTTTGAACTTGACCTTATTTGAAATCTTGCTTCTGATCACGTTTTATTAAGAAAAAAAATCTTCTTAACTGTAGTTGTAGAAAGACTCCGAAAAAATTTTGAACTTTTGTAATTTTCGAAATATCAGAGATTTTAACAAAAATCAGACCTGCACCATTCTCATAAGCGACTACTACGCTATCAGGCAACAAAATTTAATCTAAAAATATGAAACTTTTTTTTTTTCGAGTTTCCCGGTGGTTTATGTTAAGTACCCCCAAAAAAATTAAAAATATCGGTTTTCAAATTCAATGGGCTGTAACATCAGCCAGATCGATTGGGGAATATCAATTTTGGAGAAATTCGGCTGAACGATTTAGCCGCTAGCGTTGTTCAGAAACAGACATTTCGCCCGACAATCGTCTTTCTTAGGTACCCACAAAACACGGAGTCTGGCTTCACCACGTGTAAGAGGATTTTTTTCTATATAAAGCAGCTGGAGTCATTCGGATTTTAAAAATTGGGGCCCAGCAATAAAGTTTTTTTTCTGCCGAAAATTCGCCGTTTTGTTCTCAAAATTACATAACTTCACACTGCGTAAGCAAAAGCGAGAAAGTAATAGGAAAAATCGCGCACAGTCCGTGCCGCATTTAATGGATTCAGTTTCGGCACTCATCTAGCTGTTGTCGTAGAAGCCCCGAAAAACTACCGGTCAGAGCAGCCAGTCACTAGCATTTCTCTCCAGACAGTGGTTGAATTTGACCAAACTAACTAGCGCCAAAAATTAGCCAGCGTCGGGGCTCGAGTCCTAGTACCTCCCGATCAGCTACTGATGAAAGCTACCCCTGAGTCATTTCAGT